AGTGTGTATTATTAAAACTAAGTGGGCATTATTTGAGCTAGGTTATTGTAAGTTTAAGACATTAATTATAATTTTCAAGGTATTCACTAAAAAAAATTAAAAATACATACAGGAAAGGACAGAAGAAGGGAAGCAAAATGGTATGCTAAAAACAAAAAGACAGCAACATAGGAATCAAGGAACAAAAGCACAAAACACATGGAAAACAGAAAAATAGCAGAGTAAGTATGTCTTTATTGGTAATTCCATTGAATATAACTCAACTACTTGTTATATTCTACTAAAAGACATAGATTGGCAAATTGGATTAAATAGAAAACAAGATCTACCAATATGATATCTACAAGAGATTCACTTTAGATATAAGGACAGAAGTGGTTCAAAGTAAAAAGTAACCCAAAGACAATTTGGGTGGTAGTATTATTGTCAGAAAAACGTAGACTTTAAGTAAAGTANAAAAAAAAAAAAAAAAAAAAAAAAAAAAAAAAAAAAAAAAAAAAAAAAAAAAAAAAAAAAAAAAAAAAAAAAAAAAAACTTGCAAGAGATGAAGAGGGACTTGAGAAAATATTCAATACTATAGGATATAACAATTGTCAATATATACACACAACATCAGAGTCAAAATATATAAAGCAAAAGTTAACTGAATGAAGAAATAGAAAACTCTACTATAATAGTTGGGAAATTCAGTACTCCCATTTCAATAATAGATACAACTAGACAGAAAGTCAATATGGAAACAGAGGACTTGAACAACAATATAAAATAATTATACTTAATAGATATATACTGGCTGGGCACAGTGGCTCAGGTCTGTGATACCAGCACTTTGGAAGGCTGAGGTGGGTGGATCACCTGAGGTCGGGAGTTCAAGACCCACTTGACCAACATGGTGAAACCGGATCTTTACTAAAGATACAAAAATTATTCAGGCTGGTGGTACCTGTAATCCCAGCTACTCAGGAGGGTGAGGTAGGAGAACTGTATAAACCCAGGAGGTGGAGGTTGCAGTGAGCAGAGATCACACCACTGCACTCCAGGCTGGGTGGCAGAGTGAGACTGTAAAAAAAAAAAAAAATTATCCAATTGAAAAAAAGAAGTAAAATTTTGTTTACAGATGACATGATTATATGATTACATATATAGAAAACCCTAAAGAAACCACAAAAATATTGTTACAAATAATAAATGAACTTAGCAAAATTGCATGATATAAAATGACACACACAAAAAAACAGTTGTATTTCTATGCATTTGCTATGAACAATGTGAAAATAAAATTAAGCATTTCTAGTTTCTGGTCTTGCATGTATGAAGTTGGAAGTCACCACTTCATCCTAATAAGTAAAAAGTTGAAGCTAAAAAATTAACAACTCTTTTTCATCAAAGAGGTATGGTCACAGGGCAAACCACTGCCTCTAAAATTGGAGAGACTGACAGGCAAAGGAGAGTATTTTGGCTTCTTAGAGCAAAAACTCATGAACACAAACCTCTTCAGGAACCAGTGCCAATGCAAGAAAACCTCAACTATAACTGATGAATTGCTGGGGACTTAGCATGGATAAATCTGAGAGATTAAACTCTAGGAGAATCCAGTTATCAAGGGACACCCCCCCCCCACCTCCCCATGCTTTTATGAGTCCTCCAGGAACTCAGCAAAGCTATTACAGTGACAGAGGCAGAAACTGTGAAGAAATAATATAAGTTGTCTCTGAGAAACTCACTTTAAAGACACATATAGATTAAACATAAATCAATAAAGTTATACCATACTAACACTAATCAAAAGAAAGCAAAAATAGCTATATTAGTTTCAGACAGAGTAGCCTTCAAATCAAGTAGAGCTATCAGGGATAAAAACGGGAATTATATAATGAACAAGGGGTTAATTCTCTAAGAAGACATAATCCTTAATGTGTATGCACCTAAAAACAGACTGTCAAAATACATGAAGGCAAAAGCTGATAGAACTTCAAGAAGGAAGAGATGAATCTACTATCACAGAGATCTCAAAAATTCTTTATCAAAAATGGGCAGATCCAGCAAGCAGAAAATCAGTAAGGATAGAGTTGAAATCAACAACAGCATCAATCAACTGGATATAATGGCCGTTTATAGACTTCTCCAACAACAGCAGAATACTCTTTCTTCTCAAACTCACGTGGAACATTAATCAATATAGACCATGTTCTGGGCCCTAAAACATAGCTTAACAAATTTAAAAGATTAGAACTCATAAAGTGACTTCTCTCAGATGACAATAAATTTAACTAGAAATCAATGACAGAAAGATCATTGGAAAATCCCCCAAATACTTGGAGATTAAGCAATACACTTCTAAATAACACATGTGTCAAAGAAGAAATGCCAGGAGCAATTAAAAGATACTTTTAACTACATTAAAATGAAAACACAACTTATCAAAATGTATGGAATGCTGTGAAAGCAGTGCTTAGGGGGAATTTATGACATTGAATATATATTTCTAATATATGCATATTAGAAATAGCATTAAAATACCTCAGAATAAACTTAATCAAGGAGGTGAAAGACCTGTACACTGAATACTGTAATACATTGCTTAAAGAAATTAAAGTAGACATAAATAATTGGAAAGACATCCCATGTTCATGGATTAGAAGACTATTGATAAAATGATAATACTATTTGATATACAGATTCAATGTATTCCTTATCAAAATTTCAACCTTTGTTTGCAGAAATAGAAAATCCCATTCTAAAATTCATATGGAAAATCAAATTACCCTGAATAACCAAAGAAAATCTTGAAGAAAAGAATAAAGTTTAAAGACACATACTTCATAATTTCAAAACTTTACACAAGCCTACAGTAACCTAAAGAGTGTGGTACTGGAACAAGAATAGATACACAGATCAATAAAATAGAAAAGAGAGCCCAGAAATAAACCTCACTTATGTGGTTGATGGATTGATTTTTAACAACTGCCAAGACCATTCAATGGGAAACGGACAGTATTTTCAACAAATGGTGCTGGAAAAACTGGATATCCAAATGCAAAATAACAAAGTTGTAGTATTTACACCATCTACAAAAATTAACTCAAAATGGATCAAGGACCTAAATTTAAGAAGTAAAACTATAAAACTCTTAGAAGAAAACATAAAAATCTTTATTAGACAATGTAATTCTCAAGTATTGCACATGTGATAAAAATAGATCAATTGAGCTTCATAAAAATTAAAAATTTTATGCATAAAGTACACTATCAAAAGAAAAAACTCAGAATGGGAGAAAATATTTGCAAATCATATATCTGAAGAAGAATTAATATCTGGAATATATAAAAACTCATGCAACACAACAAAACCCAATTCAAAAATAGGCAAAGGATTTGAACAGACATTTCTCCAAAGAAGACATACAAATATGCACACAACAAGATGTTCAACATCACTAGCCATCAGGGAAATGCAAATTAAAGCCACAATGAGATAAAGCTTCATACCTATTAGGATGGCTATACAACAACAAGAACTACAACAAAAAACAGAAATTAACGTGTCGGCAAAGATGTGGAGGAACTAGAATCCTGCATTGCTGGTGAAAATGTATAATGATGCAGCCATTGTAGAAGACAGTTTGATGTTTCCTCAAAAAAGCTGATTACAGAATTACTATATGATTCAGCAATTCAATGCCTAGCTCTATACCCAAAGAGTTGAAAATAGTGACCCAGACACTTGTACACCAATGTTCATAGCAGCATTATTTGCAATGGTCAAAAGGCGGAAACAACCCAAATGTTCAACAAGATATGAATGGATAAACAAAATATTATGTATGTATATTTATATACTGTTTATGTATAAACACACATATACACAATGGAATATTATTTAGCCATTAAAGGGCATGAAGGATACATGCTGCAACATGAACCTTGAAAACATTATGCTAATTAAAAATAATCCAGACAAAAATAAACAAATGTTGTATTATTTCATTTATATGGCATATCTAGAACAGGAAAATTCATAGAAACACAATGTAAAATAAAGGTTAGCAGAGACTGTGGGGAGGAGGGAATAGAGACTGTTCAATGGGCATCTTTAGGGATGACGAAAGTGTTCTAGAATTAGATAGTGATGGTGCTGTTGTGAATACACTAAAAACTTTATTGTACCACTTTAAAATGGTAACTTTAATGTTAAACGTAGTACCACAATTTGAAAGTGTCTTTGTCTTAAAAATAGGAAATGATAAAATTAGATTTTATCTAATTCTTTCCAGCTTTATAATTTGGATCCTGCTCCTTTATACTTCATGGCTCATGTCTTATACTTGATGTTTCTATGGTACTTGTGCACAGCTGTCAAATCCACAGCTTTGCACATGCTTTCCACCCTTCTAGTTTCTCAACTATTTGTAAGGTTGCCTTCCTCTATGTTTTCCATTAAATCTTCCATTAGTCAAACCACTCCCTTGTACCTCCTTCCGTAAGTTTTCCCTGCCCTAAACTCCCAGGGCAAATTGTGCAACTTCATTGCCTTATATTAAAAATAAATAGAATTTTAAAAAATCCACTAGATTAGGGTAGTGTCCTGATTTTATTCATCTTTCTCTTTTGGTGAAACTTGAGAAGTGTCTTGCGGTTAACTGTATTTTAAGCATCTAGATTGTGCAATGAAGCCAGTTTCTCCAGACAGGCTGGAGATCACCTGCATCAGAATCAACTGAGATGCCCGTTGAAAATGTAATTTTCCAGGCCAGGGAGTCGGTCTCGGAGTGTAAACCTTGTGAAGCTGTATTTTAACAAGCTCGTTTGGTGATTTATTTGTGTACGCTATTTAAAACTCTATGAACTACCGGTCTGGGCTGTATTTTGCAGTGTATTAAGGCGGTCTTCGGGAGCTCTCGCAGACTCCCTTCCTCTAGCCTCTCACATACCAGGGGAGAGGCTTTGCAAAAACCTCCAGGAAAGTGAATCCCAGCACAGCCCGGCTCTCGCTGGCTCTCCGGCGCATGCGCAGAGCTGCGACCGCTGCCGATATGTTGCCCACTCCCAGTATGTTTCCTGTTTTGCAAGTGGTCGTCCGTGTCAGGAGACTTAGGTTCAGGCGGCTGCTAGACCGTGATCGACCCCGCACACGGAGCAGGGCATGATCAGCTGCAGTCTGAGGGGAAGAGCGCCTGCGATCCTAGGAAAGCCGAGGGGCGTCGGGGCAGCGGCTCGACGCGTGGGTTTCTCTTTAATCCTTCCGACTTCCCCAAGCCCCGCGCACTCCGGTTCCGCTCCAAGTGCGGGACCCGTCCGGGGTGTGTCGGGGTGCTCGGCCGGAGGCGGCCGGTGAGTGGGGCGCGCAGGGCCCCGGGACCAGCGTGGGTGGTCTTGGATGTTCTGGAACGTGGAAACACGGTTTCTTCGAAGGAAACGGGCGAAAGCGCCGCGGGTGGTTTGGCTGCAGGTCCGGTCAAGGGGCACGTCCACGGTTGGGACGCCCTGTGGCGAGGGGTCTTCAAGAGGCCCCCAGCGCCCGTCTCACGCGCGGGCCGGCCCGGTCCCTCTGCGGCAGCGGCAGCCGGTGGTGTCCCCTGTGTGTCCCTGAGGTGAATTCAAGAGCAGGGTTGCGCCCTGCTTCCCGGCTAGCTGGGCGAGGGAGGGCTTCCGTGCTGGGTGGTTTCTCGGTTGCTTACTGAGTGCAGGCGCTGCTCCAAGAGCTTTTAACTGCTTTAACTCACTTGATCCTCGCATCAGCCCCATGAAAAACGTACTGTTATTGTCCCCATGCTACAGATCAGGAGTCACATAAAGTACTTGCTCGGACGGGGGCGGTGGCTCACACCTGTAATCCCAGCACTTTAGGAGGCCGAGGTGGGCGCATCACTTGAGATTAGGAGTTTGAGACAAGACTGGCCGTCTCCATTAAAAATACAGAAATTAGCCAGGCGTGGTGGCGCGCACCTCTGGTCCCAGCTACTCAGGGGGCTGCGGCAGGAGAATCGCTTGAACCTGGGTGGTGGAGGTTGCAGTGAGCCGAGATTACGCTACTGCACTCCAGCCTGGGTGACAGAGTGGGACTCCGTCTAAAAAAAAAAAAAAAAAAAAAAAAGAAAAAAGGATTTGCATGAAGTTACAGAGACTAGTGAATACCAGTTCTTAGTTTATGGATCTGATGATGAAGGTTGGAACTACAATAAAGTAGTTGTTAATTATTTGTTGGTAGGTGTATTGACAGTTACTGTGGATCTTTGTGTGTGAGTTTGTGCTTTATGGGTGCGTTTGTGCTTTGAGCCAATTTCTGAAGATTGTTACCTGAAGATCGCCTTTTGTAGGACAAGATTTTCCCTGTTCTGTGATTAAACTGAGGCTGCCTAGGCACTTCTGCTGATTGCTTCGTGGATTGGCAAAAGCTCCAGGAAGCAATCAGCCTAGAGCCACAAAACAAAGCACCTGGAGAAGCCCTATTCCAGAACCGTCAAAACCTTCTCCTTTCTGAAGAGGGTAGAAAATAAAGGAGAATTATTCCTGGATCAGGAATTGATTATAGGAGAAAGTGACATTGTCAAAAGAGTTTTAGCTAATTGGGGTAACAGTGGTGGCCAACGCTGTTAGTGCTAGAAAGTTAGAGAGCCACATAAAGGAAGAGCTAACTACCAGGCTTGCTAGGACTGCAGCCTGTTACCACTTAATAATGTTTTTGTGGGGATACAGTATCCAGAGAGCAGTAATGTAACCTAAATAATGAAAGTATGAGGAAGAAAGGAGAAAAAGGGGTGGTGGAGGAATCCCTTGGATGGAATCTGAATAAAGGTATGACCCTAACATTGTGTAGACAAGCCCTAACTTCCTGGCCTCTCTGAAATATGTTTGGGGGCTATCCACGAAACTTTTGTCACAGTCACTAGCTTTCCCTTTCCCATCTCATATACATCCTCCAGAGCCAGGAAAAAGAATGCCTCTCTCCATGCTCTAGAGCAGCAGCTGCTGAAGGGAGCCTCATAAATCCTCAGGACAGCATCTTTCCTTAAACATACACCATCACAGTTTTCAAATTCATTGATGTGAGATAAGCATAGCAATAGCATCTTCTCCCTTACGTTATATATGGTATTCTTTGTTGTAAATGTTTTGTCATATTTTAACTTGCAGTATTCACAAAAGCTTTGTAAGAAGAGACAAGCACATGCTAGTAATGGTGTTTTATAATATGGGACAAGATTTTTCACAAAGGTTACTTGACCAAGGAAGCACAGCTCTAAGCAGTGTCATCTGTCTTCTATTTTGACCCTCAGGAAGAAGTAAGGGGACCAGTGCCATAGTGTCTTTGATTACATATCCCATTTGAAGAGAATGTCAAAGAGGCTGGATCACCTGAGGAGTTTAGAGGAAATTTGGATTTGACTTAGATCTGTCTTCTTTATCTTTCATCATAAAAGATGAACTTAAAACCCAGACATAAATGTCCATTGTCATTTTCTTTATATCTGAGAGGAGATGGGATTACTTTGAGGCATTCATTTTACTTCTTAATCCTTAGGGTTGCATCCAACAGGCCAGACCTGTACATCACTAGACAGAAGTTCTGGATGCCTTAGAGTATGACCTTTTCCCATTTCTGCCTTTTATTAAAAATAAAACCAAGAGAAAGCAGAAGAGGGAAAGGCAACTGTCTGCATCCCTATAAGATCCCTATCTCACGAGTTAAGTATTCTTCCCTGTTTTCTGCAAGTGTTCATCTTGCCAAACAGAGACACATTTATTTCTCTTAAAGGAACTTCCCTTCTTAGGTGAGTCTGCCAAATTTTGCCAAAGAGACTATTCTTAATTTGCCTGTTGATTGCTCTTAATATCTTCAACACTCCTTCACTCTAATTCATCATTAGATGATTAATGAACACAGGCCTTCTTTGGCCTATTATGTACCTTGAGATCTTACATGTCTCTGAGGATTTGAAAAAGAGGAGATTCATTGTAGTCCTCTCCCCTTAGTCTAGGCAGATGGCTATGTGTTTCAAAGTTTGGGATCTAAAGTTAAACTACTGGGAATCAGATAGCTTTGGACCAGTCAAGTCCAGCATCTCCATTTTACAGATGAGGAGACATAAAACTAGATTGCTTATTTTTCCCTGGTTTCTAGATAGCTACAAGTGGAACAATGACCAAAATCCAAATTACCTAGTCAATGCATATAGCTCTGTCTGATGTTTCCCTGAATTGTGGTGAGGATGCCACTTGCACTTCAGTGGAGGCCAGAGACTTTTTTTTTTTTTAGATGGAGTCTCGCTGTCACCCAGGCTGGAGTGCAGTGGCACAGTCTTGGCTCACTGCAACCTCTACCTCCCAAGTTCAAGTGATTCTCCCGCTTCAGCCTGCTGAGTAGCTGGGACTACAGGTGTGTGTCACCGTGCCTGGCTAATTTTTATATTTTAGTAGAGATGGGGTTTTACCATGTTGGGCTGGTCTCAAACTCCTGACCGCAGGTGATCTGCCCACCTTGGCCTCCCAATGTGCTGGGATTACAGGCGTGAGCCACCATGTCCGGCTAAGGCCAGAGACTTTAATCCATAGGTTACATAGATAGGCCTGTTAGTGTGGCTGAGATTTACTGCAGCCTTTCAGGGACTGCCTTTGGGAGGTAGCCACTCTTTACACCCCTACGGCACTCTGAAGTCAAGGTCATGCTGATATCCTTCTGACACTGGTGGAGTTTAGTTTCTTGGCCATTTACAAGCCGCTAAACAGAAAGTGTGACTCAGGCATTCTTTCCCTGTCTGTTGAGAAGCAACACGTACTACATAGTATAATGAGTTTGCATCTAGGATTTATTATTTGACCTTGAGTCAAATTACTTAACTTCTCTGTACTTTACACTATTTATTTGTATTGTGAGAATAATAATTCCCCTCTCACAGAGTTATTGTGAAGAATAAATGAGTCAATATTCATAAAATGCTTAGAATAGGCGGGCCCAAAGAAAGTCCATTACTAGAGACTGTACTTCCAAGTTAGATTCCTTTCACAAATTCTTTTTGTTTTTTCTTCCAGGTAGAAACTTTCCCTCATGGAGTTTCTATGTGTCTATCATATATGTCACATACACAAACACATCTAATGCATAATACAGTTGTAGACATAATGAGATTATTTGAATGCAAAAACAAATATACTTTTAGACTCTTGCCCTATACAGTATGATGCGGCTCGAATATGTGTCTCCACCAAATCTCAAGTTGAATTGTTATCCCGAATGTTGGAGGTGGGACCTGATGGGAGGTGACTGGATCGTACAGGTGGATACCTCAGGGCTTGGTGCTGTCCTTGAGATAATGCGTAAGTTCTCATGAGATCTGGTTGTGTACAAGTGTGTGGTACCTCTCCATCTCTCTCTTCTTCTACTTTTGCCATATGAGATGCCTGCTCCCCCATTGCCTGCCACCATGAGTAAAAGCTTCCCGAAGCCTCCCCAGAAGCTGAGCAGATGCCAGCACCCTGGTCATACGGCCTGAAGAACTATCAGCCAATCAAACCTATTTTCTTTATAAATTACCTAGCCTCAAGTATTTCTTTATAGCAATGCAAGAATGGCCTAATACAGCAAATTGGTACTGAGGAGCAGGCCTGGCTGTCAAGATATTTAAAAATATGGAAGGAACTTTGGAACTGGGTAACAGGCAGAAGTTGGAAGAGCTTGGAGGGCTCAGAAGATGGGAAGATGAGGGAAAGCTTGGAATTTCTTTGAGACTGGTTAAATGGTTGTGACAAAAATGCTGATAGTGATATGGACAATGAAGTCCGTCTGACAAGGTCTCAGATGGCAATGCGGAACTTATTAGGAACTAAAGCAAAGGTCATGTGTGTTAGCCCTTAACAAAGAAATTAGCTGCCTTGTGCCCCTGCCTTAGGGATCTATGGAAGTTTGCACCTCAGAAGGTTGATTTAGGGTATCTGGCAGAAGAAATTTTTAAGCAGCAAAACAATATGTAGCCTGGTTCTTTCTTATTGTGTGTCCTCAGATGTAGGATCAAAGAAATGACTTGAAGTTGGAAGTTATATTTAAAGGAGAAGCAGAGCATAAAAGTTTGGAAAATTTGCAGAGACAGAAAAAGCTTTTTCAGGACAGAAATTCAGGCAGGCCATGGAGTAACCAGTTGTGAGAGAGATTTGCATAACCGAAAAGGAGCCAAGTGCTACTAGTCAAGAAAATAGGAAAAAGGCCTCAGAGGCATTTCAGAGATCTAAGAGGCAATGCCTCCCATCACAGGCTCAGAGGCCCAGGAGGACTAAGGATTTTAGGGCCAGATCCAGGGTCCCACTGCCCTGCCCCACTCCAGGAGGCTGCTCTCAAATCCTGGTTGCTCGAGCTCCAGCCATGGTACCAGTGGGCCCAGGTATAGCTCAGGCTGCTGCGCTGGAGGGTAGGAACTGTAAGCCTTGGTGGCTTCCATGTGGTGTTAAGCCTGTGGATGTGCATAGTGCAAGAGTGAAGGAGGTTTGGCAGCCTCTGCCTAGATTTCAGAGGATGTATGAGAAGGCCTGGATGTCTAGGCAGAAGCCTGCTGTAGGGGAAGAGCACCTTTAGAGAACCTCTTTTAGGACAGTCTAGAGAGGAAATGTGGGGTTGGAGGCCCCACACAGGGTCTCCACTGGGGTACTGCCTAGTGGAGCTGTGGGAAAAGGGGCACCATCCAGTCCCCAGAATGGTAGATCCACCAGCAGCTTACACCCTGTGCTTGGAAAAGCCACAGGTATTCAGCAACTTGGGAGAGCAGTGTGGGGCTGAATTCTGCAAAGCCGCAGGAGTAGAACTGTCCAAGGCATTGGGAACCCACCCCTTGCACCACTGTGCCCTGGATGTGGGACATATAGGAGATTATTTTGGAGCTTTAAGATCTAATGACTGACTTGCTGCATTTCAAGCTTGTGTGGAGTCTGTGGCTCCTTTCTTTTGGCGGATTTCTCCCTTTTACAATGGGAGAAATCAGACAAAAGCTTTACCCAATGCCTGCACCTCCATTGTATTTTGGAAGTAAATAAATTGTGATTTTACAGGTTCACAGGTGGAAGAAATTCATCTCCAGATAAGACTTTGGACTTGGGACTTTTGAGTTAATGCCAGAGTGACTTAAGACTTTAGGGGACTATTGAGCAGGAGATGATTGTATTTTGCAGTGTGAGGACATGAGACCTGGGGGCCAGGAGCAGAATGATATGGTTTGAATATATGTCCCCATGAAATCTCATGTTGAACTGTAATCCCCAGTGTTGGAGGTGAAGCCTGATGGGAGGCGATTGGATCATGGAGGTAGATCCCTCATGGCTCGATGCTGTCCTTGCAATAATGAGTGAGTTCTTGTGAAATCAGGTGTGTAAAAGTGTGTGGCATCTACTCCCCTGCCTTGCCCCTGCTTTCACCATGAGATATGCCTGTCCCCTTTAACCTTCTGCCATAGGTGAAAGCTCTCTGGAGCCTCACTAGAAGCTGAGAAGATGCCAACACCATGCTTTTACATGCTGCAGAACCATGAGCCAGTTAAACCTCTTTTCTTTATGAATTATCCAGCCTCAGATATTTTTATAGCAATGCAAGAACAGCCTAATACACAGTATATACACATTAGTTGATTATAGATAATCTCATATCAAAGTGGCACAGTTTAACAATCATTAAAATATTAATAAGCATGAGAGTGAATAGGGTCTCACTCTGTCACCCAGGCTGGAGTGCTGTGGTGTGATCTCGGCTTACTGCAACCTCCACCTCTCAGGTTCAACCCATTCTCCAGCCTCAGCTTCCCAAGTAGCTGGGATTACAGGTGTGCGCCACCACGCCCAACTAATTTTTGTATTTTTAGTAGAGACGGGGTTTCACCATGTTAGCCATGCTGATCTTGAACTCCTGACCTCAAGTGATCCACCTGCCTCAGCCTCCCAAAGTGTTGGGATTACAGGTGTGAGCCACTGTACCCAGCCTTAATTGGATCTTAATGTGGTATTCTACAACAAGAAATTCTGACTCCTGCATCAACCCAGTAGTAGGGCTTTTTGTCTTCCCTATCTTCAGTTGAAAGCCATGTTCTTGGCAAAGCTGAACACAGGCAGCATCATCATGTTACTTGAAGTTCTCCATGTATGGCTTCTTGGTGTATATCCTCCAAGGCTAGCCTCCACATCTGAGAGGTCTCAGTCTATGAGAAAGGAAAGACTTTTATGAAGCTAGATTAACTCCCTAATCTCATGTATCTCAAATTATGCTGTGAGCAGAAACATCTGGGGAACTGTTATACAGCACATTGCCTCCTTTAATACACAAGGGTTCTAAGTGAATTAGCAAGAGAAGGGGTTAATCAAGCTTTAATGTGGGAATTTGGAGTCTGGGGATGGGCAAGAAGAAAAGGCATACATTCCCAGATCCTCCTTTTTCTGACAAAGGCTGCTGGAGCCAGGATGCTCTGCTGGACACTCTGATAGGCTGGCTGGTCTTCCAGGAGAGGGCCTTGCTTCCCTGTTGCTCTCCCTTCTTATAATACAAGTAGAAAACAACCTTGTCATTGTGGAGATAAACTCACTACTTGGTGCCAGGCAATATGAATGTGAGGTGTTTGCTTTTTAAACAAGAGCCATCTGGGAAAGCTAGCTGTCTAGTACCTGGGAAGCTTGAGATCTTTGGGAAGTTTCAGTCCCTCTGTAGAGAGAAGGGGCCTTTTGTTCTATGGGAAGCTGAGTTTCTGTTTTATACCTGCATGCTGTGAGTAGAATGTTGGAGGGTAGAAGACAGTCTAAGCTAGCACTTTGTTCAAGCACCCTAGACTGTATTTCTAAGGTTCTTTCTGGACATTCAACTGTCAAGTCACATGAACTTATTAAAATACAAGTGCCTTGGCCCCATCAGATTTACTGGCTTCAAAGCAAGACTCAGATATCTGGAGTAACAAGTGTCAAAAGTAATTATGATATGTATGTGTTTGCGTATGTAACCTGTGTGTGTGTGTATGTAACCCATCTTTTGGCATCCAATTTTAGTCCCTTTCAGAGACTCATTGTCTCCAGCCTCTCCAGCCATAGATCCTGTGCAAGTTCACTCTGCCTTTTCTGTAGATAAAAACACTGGGATTGAGCTCTGAATAGCTCTGTGTCCTCAGCACCAGCAGCCTTATGTTAAATCATTTCTAATATGCAGGAACCCCAGCATGTGAATTGGACCCAGTTGGAGGTCGAATAACAGTAGTTGCTGAATCTTCAGGAAGTTGAAGGGGGCAGTGTCCAGAAATACCTGTCTAGGTGAGTAGTGTCATAAGAAGACCACCAATTTGATGTTTAAAAGATGAGTTCTAGTCCAAGCCCTTGCAATTGGTTGGATCATGTAGGCAAGTGACTCAGTCTGTTTTCTGTCAGATGAGTGGGTTGGTGTAGATGATGTCTAAGTTCTGTTAAATCTCTGACAGTCTATGACTGTATGCTTCTTTAGAAGAATACCTGAAGTATAATAATTGGAAGAAGGGTTGAGGGGCAAATGGGGCTAGCAGTGTGGTAGTTATCATTTCTGAAATTTTTATTCTGTCTCAATCCCAGGAAAACGGTTGCATTCAAGCTTGATCAAGCCATCTTTCTTTTTCCTTTTTTCCTACACTTGAGAGTCTTGATTCTTGTCATCCTTGTTGTTGCTCTCATTTTCCATGGCTAACAAGCTACCATAATAGGTCATTTTACCTTTTAATGCCCAACACTCTGTCATCAGCTGGTACACCTGCTCGTTTCTTTTTGTTTGGCTTAGCATGTTACGCAATAACTCTTTCCATATTTCTTGTTGTCTCTGTGTTCACCATGCACACTGAAAAAATTCTGCCTCTTATCTCTTCTGGCTTTGTTCACTTATCCTTCACTATCCTTTTTTGTTTTCTCCTCATATAAAGTTGCTAGTGTGCATGAATTCAAATTAGTTCTCTTTTCTCTGCTGGTTTATTTTCTTTTCTCTCCACAGTAGATACAGATGACATTTGTACTTTAAATATCTTTCATATAGGAAGATATAAACTGAACGAAAGCATCAACACCAATCACACTGTTTCTGAAGAACTAGAGTTTTCAGTGTCAGCAATGGAAAACCTCAAAGGGAATACTGATCAGGGTCCTACAAATGAAGAAGCCTATAAACATGAAGGCCAATTTTCAAGGCAGACAAAATGCCCTGCACAGAAGAAATCCTCTTTTGAGAATACAGTGGTCAGAAAAGTGTCAGTGACACTCAAAGAAATTTTCACAGAGGAGGGAGGCCCTGAATCCTGTGAATTTAGTCTAAGCCCAAACCTTGACACACAACAAAAAATTCCAAAGGGCAATAGATCCCCAATATCTAGGAAAAACTCCAAAGATAATTCAGACTTAATTAAACACCAAAGGCTTTTCTCACAAAAAAAACCTTGTAAATGCAATGAATGTGAAAAAGCCTTTAGCTACCAATCAGACCTTCTTATACACAGTAGAATTCGTGGTGGAGAAAAGTCTTTTGAATGCAATGAATGTGGGAAATCTTTCAGCCGAAGTACACACCTTATTGAACATCAAAGAATTCACACTGGAGAGAAACCTTATGAATGCAATGATTGTGGAAAAGCTTTTAGCCGGAGCACACATCTTAGTCTACATCAGAGAATCCATACTGGAGAAAAACCATATGAATGTAGTGAATGTGGAAAAGCCTTTAGCCGAAGCACTAACCTTAGTCAACATCAGCGAACTCATACTCAAGAAAGGCCTTACAAATGTAATGAATGTGGGAAAGCCTTCAGTGACCGTTCGACTGTAATTCAGCATCAACGAATACATACTGGAGAAAATCCGTATGAATGTAGTAAATGTGGAAAAGCTTTCAGTTGGATCTCATCGCTTATTGAACATCAGAGAGCACACACTGGGGAGAACCCCTATGAGTGCAGTGACTGTGGGAAAGTGTTCAGTCGAAGTTCATCTCTTACTGAACATCAGCGAATCCACACTGGAGAAAAGCCCCACGAGTGTAGAGTGTGTGGAAAGGGCTTCAGTCGAAGCTCATCCCTTATTATTCATCAGAGAACTCATACCGGGGAGAAGCCGTACAAATGTAATGACTGTGGAAAAGCCTTCAGTCAGAGTTCAACTCTCATCAGACATCAGCACCTACATACTAAAGAGTAATATCTGAGCTTTTATTAATGTTAACACAAGAACACACATACCTAACCTCCCACCATAGAAATATATGTATTTCAAGTATATATATGTACTTGTTCTAATTTTCTTTTATTAGATACCTGTACCCATTTTAAGCTTTCATTCCTTCTGTCGATCTATTCTTCTTTCCTCTCCCCTCCTTTTCTCCCTCGCTCTTACTTTTTCTACCTCCCCTTTTTCTTTTTCTTTTCTCAAATGAGTTCGCAATAAAACAAAGAGATGACTCAAAAAACTTAACATATACGATCTAATATTCTGAAAGGCTCCAACTTTAGAATATAAAGCTACCTGACACCTTGTAGTTTCTCCACTAATCATTCCATCAAGCATGCATCCCCAACCTACCAGCTGATCCTCTGTTTTCTAACCACATCAGCCCCTTCACATGAAGAGAAAATCCTGTGTGTGTGTCTTCATACTTGCTGGCTCTAGTAACAGAAGTGAGGGATCTGGCTTCAGAACAGGACTAAAAACTTCTCACCAGTCTGGGGATAATAGTGTTGAGGCAAATTCATTCTTTTGACTTGAAAAGATAGATTTTTCTCATCTTGCTCCTTCACTCACCTTTCTTGCTGTAGTATTTTTCCTTAAAATGTAACTCATTGTTTTACTGATGTGCCTAATGCCTAACTAATCCCAGTGTTATTTTATCACATTTTTACCAAAAATGTTCTAAAAATCTTGGAGACATTTCTTCATGATCTTGGGGGAAAAGGTTGCCAATTGCTGAGCCTTTTTTTTTTTTTTTATCCTTTTATTTACAGACTTCATAAAACTTATGCTCTGTGGCTTTGACCCTCACCAATCTTGGAAGGTTGATCTCTCAAGGACAAACCCAGTGCCTGTTTCTCAGTCCTATTCCTACTTGACATTTGCAGAATTGGCACTTTTTGTCACTGTTATGCCTTAAAGCCTAAGCTTCCTTCAGGATCCATGATTCTGTGCTGATCTACCTTTTCCTACCGCCCAGTGCTTCTTTGATTGTCAGTGATCAGCTCTGTGATATGCGGCGAGGGTTAGGCCAGAATAATCTCATTTTATCAAGTTATAAAACTTGAGGTAGTGCAATTACATTATACACTTCTTGAAGACAGAAATCTTAGTTTGTTTGTTTTTGTTTTATTTTTGAAAGAAGGTCTTGCTCTGTTGCCCAGGCTGGAGTGCAATGGCACAGTCATAGCTCACTGCAGCCTTGAACTCTTGGGCTCCTGCCACAGCTTCCTGAGTAGCTAGGGCTGTAGGTGTACACCACCACACCCAAAATGTTAAACATTTTTTGTGGAGACAGGATCTCACTATGTTGGCAAGGCTGGTCTTGAACTCCTAGACTCAAAACAGTTCTCCCATGTTGGCTTCCCAAAACACTGACATTATAGGTATGAGCCACCACACCAGCCAGAAATCTTGTTTTTGATTAATATAAAACATCACAAAGTGCTGCATAGACACTAAATGCCCTGTAATTATTGCTCACTGATTCCTCTTTATCCTTTTGTAATCAAACAGCTTGCCTTTATTTGATATAGATTAATGATCGACATCTTTATACTGCAGCTTCCAAGTTCATGGTACCTTGTGCCTAGATTACTAAATTTATCACTGTTGACTCACTACCATTATCTAGCTCCTTACTAAACGACTACTTTGTTAAAAATAGGCTGCAGTTTCCCAGTGACCTCTGCCCAAAATGTAAACTTCTTTAACTTAAAGGTATTTCATAGTTCGATCTACTTATTTACTTACTTTCTCTTCTCAAAGATAATGCATGCAGGCAGGCCTGTTTTTTTGTTCCTACTGTACCCTGTTCTCACACTTGGCTTCTTTTCAAACTATTCCTTAGCACTTCTATATGTTCTACTTTCTTCTTTGTATTCCAGAAACCCTATCCCTTTCTTAAAGGCCACGCTCGTATCCTGACTCTGTGACACTTTTAGTTCCTTACTTTCTCAGAAATCCTTTGTAGTGATGGTTTGGATTATTGTCCTATGTTAGACACCTTCTTTACATTAGCCATTTTGAAGTTGTAAATCATCCTAAATCTATTATAAGCCCCATATAATACATAGTACAATGCCAGCTGGTACTCTAGTTTTAATCTAAATGCATAGTGTTTAATTTAGCAGCATAATCTTTTTAGTTTTTTGAATGATGAGGTAACCTCATAGGTATTTTGGCCCATTTTGTTTTTCCTTGAGTTATGTATATAACTGACTATTTAGACTGACTCCTTTAGATCTCCTGGGATGCTGACCTCTTGGCTTTCTATTTCACGAGACTATTGTAAGGAATAAGTGAGTTTATTCATGTAAAGTAATAAAACAGTGCCTGGCATATAGTAAAAGCTCAATAAATTCTAATTATTATAATTCTACTGATTTACATCTGCCTATAGCTTTTTATTTTATTCCCTGCAGAGTTTTTAACTTCATTACCAGAAATGGAAAACTAGGATCACAGTCAAATAAGCTAGAAGGTATTTGTTTTATCATAATAGGCAATAGCTATTTTATTATAACTCCATTGAATGTAAAAAATGACTCAAGATTGCGAACAAGATACAAAAAAATAGAAAAAAAAACACATACAAATGAGCACTAAGAGATCAGGACAAGTTATGGTAACCTACACAGGTATTCAGTTAGGGATACAAACTGAGTATTCTGGCAACCAAAATGTGGAGGTAATTTGCTTACATTGTTTTAGAAGGAAAAAAGTATGTCCATTCTTCAAGGAAAACAAAGCTTTTCTAACACTTAGAATTAAGATGAATTCCTTCATTGGTCTTCATGTGATTATACAATGTATAATTACATGATATAAGAAATATATTTTATGACACCTAGTATATATAGCAGGTTCTCTGGTGAATAAATATTTAGTCCATAGTAGAAGAAGATCCAAAAAGGCAGCTGTGAAGATTGTTTTTAGGATGGAGTGAGGTTTGCAGGAGTGGGAGATAGAGTATATTAAGTAATAAAGTATTTACTGGGGGCCAGAAGAAACAAGGATATTTTGGTCAATGATGGACTGCAGATATGACAGTGATCACATAAGATTAAATTGGAGCTGGAAAATATCTATTACCTAGTAACATTATAGCATAATTATGTGTTTTTGGTGATACTGGTATAAACAAACTTAGTGCACTGCCAGTCATATAAAAATACAGCACTAAAGGCCAGGTGCGGCAGCTCACACTTGTAATCTCAGCACTTTGGGAGACCAAGGCAGGTGGATCACCTGAGGTCAGGAGTTTGAGACCAGCCTGGCCAACATGGTAAAGCCCTGTCTCTACTAAA